TCTGTCGGTACGCTCCAGTCGTGTCGCTGGCGGAGATGGAATTGTTTTTGTGGTGTTTATTTCAAATGTGCTCTAGAGGGAAGCACAGTCACTTTGCTTCCAAATGGCCAGACACTGAAATGCACGTACCTTAAAGAACTGCCTCAAAGCATAGATCTCTTCACGTTGCAAGAATCCCTTCTTGTTTTTTTAGTCAAAATTACACTAATTCTGAATTATCTCTTTGACAACATTTGTGAATGTTTTTTATTGAAATGTTTTACAGGAGCCACTGTCCCCGTTTCTTAGAGGGGGGAGTTTCTGTCCTGGAAATAATGTCATCTATGAAAAGACAATAAGAAAATACGAGATACTCAATCCCCACCAAGTAAGTTGGTCGTTCTTGTTATCTATTGCAAGAGAAAGCTGAAATGGTAGAGGAAAAGTAATGTTCTGGGTTGGGTTTTTTTGTTGGGAACTGCTGCCAACCTGAGAATGGCCGTGATGAATTACAGGACACATTCTCCAAGTAACTGAAACAACTTCTCTCTGTAAGGAGAGCAGAAGTTGGAAGGTTTGCTGTCTTTACAAAGAATTTATTATTTCAGACTAATAATGACAACTGCTGTTGTATCTCTAGAGCTGTCAGTCTTTGGCTGAATACTGACTGAGAATTAGCTTCTTGCAGTAGCTCCACAACAGAAAAACCAACACAAATTTTTACACAAAAATAATTGAAAAGACAAATTTTAGCTTTTTCTTTTCTTTTTTACTCGTTCTTGAAAAAATACAGTTGGTAAAGCTGTCTGAAGTTTCATCTCAGAACTGTTGTTTTGTCAGTAGCAAAAATAATTACTTATTTAAATTGGTCTGAAATAGTTATTTTCAACAGGAAGAATTTTGAAATAAAGGCTATTTCAGAGTGATTAATCTTACTTGTTTGGGGTTTTTTTTGGTTTTTTTGTTAAGTTTTCATTCCATTCTGGGTTTTAGATAGATAAATCAGGTGTGACACCCATACCTTAAAGTGGAAAGCGAAAAAATTTGAGGTAATGATACAGGATAGCTTCTTTCTTTCCACAGAATAGTAAAGTGTGGAGTGTAGTCCTGGAAACTGTGTTTCTGCTCCTGGTTTGTTACCCAGGGTGTATCTAGATTTACATCAAATCAGTAATGTAGCTGTGAAGAAAATCTCCCAGTCTCCTACGTGTATCGCTCTCTAGTTTACACCAAAACAGGTGCAAAGCAGGCTGCGTTCAGGTGAAGTTAAAACATGTTGAAGGGATGCACGCAGTCTGCTCCGGCTGCCGGCGGGCGTGCAGCCCCCTGAAAGCCCGCGGGAAGTCCTCCTCGGACGCGCAGTGAAGGGACGGGGTCCTCGCTCCGCTCCTGGTGCGCAGCGGTGAGCGCGGATCTGATGTCGTCTCTCTCCTCTGCTGCTGGTGCAGAGTCAGGCGTTGGGGCAGCCTGTGAAATGTAACCGCGTCGGGAGTTTTCAGTCACAATCCCCTGGAGCCCTGGACGTGCATTTATATACTTCTACGTAGAATACAAAATACATATTTTTTCGAAGTAAACTTGTAACAGCCATGATCTAGAGGAACAATTAAGTTTGCCAAAATCGGTGCCTTTCAGTGTTTTGACTGGAACATGACCTACTTCTGGTGGGCAGTTTTGTAAACAGCACTTTTCTTGACTGTAAGAACAAGACACGTGTCCCGTATATACGGTACGCTCTGACTCTGGAACCGCTGAAAGCGTTTACAGAGGAAAATGTCTTCAGTCATTTCCTCTACTAAATTTTTTTTTTCTAACTGGAATTAACAAAAACTCAGTTCGACCGAGGCTCTTATTTATCCCTCAAATACTTAATGAAACAGGACATGCATGTGTTCTAAATGAAATAATGGATGTCCCCCTTGCTGGAGTACATTAAGAGCAATACTGTAATGAAACATACAGCTGGGGAAAGGTGGATCTTCTGTGCTTTTCATTTGCAGCTACTAAAATTTGAGGAGTTGGTGAATTGGAACCTTGAAGCATGAAAGTGTGAGGCAGACTCATGTTCAGTTAGGAAAAAAAGCAATTTTATTGAAACTGTTACGAATTGGAACCTTGAAGCATGAAAGTGTGAAGCAGACTCATGTTCAGTTAGGAAAGAAAGCAATTTTATTGAAACTGTGATCAGTTTTTCCATGCAAAACATTTCATTCATTTATATATTCATCCTAAGCTTCCATCTCATTCAGCTGTGTTCAGCAGCTTAAGAATGTCTGTTCTTGTTTCTAGGAGAAGCAGTACCAGTTCTCGCACCAATGTCCGATTCCCCAGCAGGGCGATCAGTGCCATGTTGTCCAGCCCTGCCAGCACCTGGAGCCGTCCCAAGTCACTCACCAGTGCCAGCAGACACAGACCAGCAGCCCCTGTGAGATAATTCCAATCTCTGTGAGCGATGACTGCGGAGGCAATACAGTGAGGAGGGTGACAGTTCAAACCTGTGAACCGGTAAGAGCAGTTTGCTGAATGTTTTACTGTTCACAGTGCGTTTTTGTTCTGTACGTGGAGTGCAAAACTCTGTAGACACACAAACCTGCTAATCCCCAACCTCGGAAGTTTTTGTTCCAAACCGTAGCAGGGTCATTAAGCACCAGGCACCCACTGGAAGGAAACAGCAGAGTTTGTGTGCCCGTTGCAGGTAACTTCTTGGTGTGCTGTGACTGCAGACATAGTCTAGAACTGTCCAAGGCTTTGTCGCATGCGGTTAAGGAGAGCAAAGAAAAGTTGTTTCAGCTGCTGTGTCCTATTTCTTGCTGGCGTAGACTGGCACTTCATTGTACTGACTGATCGTCATTCTCTTGTCCTTTAAATGTGTTAAGTCTTGCTGGTTTGGCTTTATTTTTTCCTTTATCTGGGAGTGTTACCCGTGGGTTGAGTCAGGTTTCAGCTGTCAGTCTGTGTTGTACAAAGACTGAGTAGTGGAAGGCCTGTGCCTCTGGTTTTGGAGAAAAGGACATTGCGTTATAAAGTGGACACGCGTCGGTCCGGAATTGCTTTCTGTCTGCACTGGTCAGTAAGGCTTTCAGCTCTGTGTCAGTTTGATGGAGGAGTGTTGGACAGATCTACTGGGAGCACAGAACTAGCTTCCTTCACCCGTCATGTTGCAGCAGGCTGCGAGTTCTGGGGTTTCAGCGGGCGGTGTGCAGTGCAGGGACGCCGTCGCTTCAGCTGGGGGGAGGCACTGCAGCTGCTCGGTCGACGGGCACAAGGCAAACGCGCGGGGTGACCTCGGTGTCAGAGCTGCCGGGAACCTTCCATAGCCAGGTCCTCCCATAAACCAGCTTCGGTAAACCCAGTTTGGGCTGCTCTTTGCGTTCTTCTGTTGTTCACGTACGTGAACATTTGAACTTCAGTGGAGGTGTTTTAAGGTCTTGCCGGGCTTGAAAAAAGGAGGTGGCTTGTGTCAGCGCCCTTCTGTAAACGCTTCTGAAGTTGACCCTGGGAAGGAAGCTGGGAGCTCCTCCTCTCGGGCACTGGCCGCGCTCCGGTGCGTGAAGGCCTGCAGAAGCACAGCCAGCGTGCCACACACCGTCTCTGCAGTGGGGAGTCCTGCACCCAGCTGGTTGGAGCTGGTGCTGCCCTCGGGCGTCTCGCCCACCACAGCTACAGAAACGTGCATTAGTGAGAGGTTTCCTAATTCTCAGCACTTTCTGTATTAGAGGACTGGTGACGACACTGCTGTAGCAGGTAAATCCTTTGCGTATTTCTTGCTATAAAGGAAGTAATTTATTCCTGTATAGTTTACTGAAAACTAGAGTACATGGAAGGCTCAGTACCAGGGAAAAGAACAGTGCAAACAAACTGCTAGTTAGTAAGCGCAAACAAACCCAGGTCCATCATACTTGTAGCATTTTCACCTTCAGCTTTCACCCCGAAGAAGGGACCTTGATTATAATTTTCTTGCATCTCTTCTGCTAGGTGAGTTGCCCTCAGGAAGGCAACGACC